ACCGTAGCTTGAGGTCGGCGTCCATCTGGCCGGCGAGCAGACGCCGCGGATTTTCGTGCGCGACGCCCCGCAGCTCGATGCCGATGCCCTTCCGACCATCCCCGACCGGCGGTGCCTGGCATCGGGCCCGGCCCCAAGTGGCTTGGCCCGTCCGCGTGTCATGATCGCCTTCGGCCTGGCTCCCTGGCTGGCGGCGCTGGACCACGTCGACACGATGTTGGCCTCGTTGGCCGGGGCCAAGAGCCGGCGATCGGCCCCGAAGCCGGCGGCCGATGCCCCGGCTCCGCAGGCCGCCCACCCGCGGGCGCCCTTCGCCCTGGACCTGGCTGTCACCAGCCCGATGATGCTGGTGGTCCCGCCGAACTGGGGCTCCCGGGTGCCGGCCAGCGCCGGCGCGCCCACGGTCCCCGGGCTGGCCATCACCTGCCGCGGGCTGCTCGTGCAGCAGGGCCCCTTCGGTGACCGGCCATGCGCGGCCTCCGGCGAGGCCCATCTCTTCGGGTCGCTGTCTGACCCGCCGCCCGAGCCGAGCCTCAAGTTCCTGATCGCGTGCGTGCCCGCCCCGCCCCGCCCGGCCTTGTGCCTGCTCCGCCCCCCCCCCCCCACCAGCCGTGAGTCTGTCGTGTGGCAGCGCCCCTCCTGTGTTTTCCCGGAGCCACTGTTTGTGCTAATGCTTCCGTCTCTCCGCTTGTCCCCCTACCCCCCCGCCACCCCTCCACAGGCTGGCTTCTGCATCGGTCTTCGTGGCGCACTTCCCGACTTGCTCCAAGGGGCAGTGCGACATGCACCCCCATGTGTCGGGCCTGTGCGCCGCGGCCGAGGAGTCCCCCGGCGGGGGGTTCGCCCCGGCGGCGCTGCTGCGTGACGTCGGCGCGCGAGTGTGCTTCGCGCTGACGCCGCACCCGGCGCCGGCCCCGCACACGGTCCAACTCCGACTCTTCGCCACCGGGACCGGGCATGTGGAGGAATTTGCCCCGGAGCCCGGGGCCTTTGCCCAGCACTTTGCCCAGTGGCCTGGGGATCTGTCGGTGGCCGGGCCCGGGGCCCTGGGCGGGCCGGCCGCCCGGCTGGCCGTCGACTCGACCCTCTTCCGGGCGGTGCAGCTCATGCTGGCCGGGAACTTCTCCGAATCGTACCTGGCCCCGGCTCGGCGGGCGGCCCTGCAGGCGTCGCACCCGGAGCGCGGCCTGGCCGTCGGGGTGGCCACCTCCGGGGACTTCCATCTGGTGTTGCTGTCCTCGGATGCGGCCTTCCCCTCGGCCCGGGCGCCGACCCTGCTGGTGGCCGCCCTGCCGGGGCTCCGTGTGCAGTATGGCATGGGCCAGGCCGGGGTGGTCATCCGGGCCGAGCTGCCGGCCGGGGCGGCCGGGCGTGTTCTCCCGGCCGAGGGGCACATCCTGGCCGAGGATGCCGCGGTGCAGGGGGTCCTGGCCGGCACGACCGACCCCCTGGGGCTGGCCTCGCTCTCGGGCAACCTGCTGGCCACCGGGCCGCTGTCGGTGCTCTTCTATGTGGGGTCACCACGTGCGCCGCGTTCCCCGGCCGGGGTGGCGGCCACCTTCCCGGACATGGGCCGCATGACGGCCCCCTTTGGCAGTCCGGTTTTGGCGGATGGCCCGCTGTTGGCCGGTCCGACGGCCACCGGGCGCAGTCCGCGCCTGGCGGTCACCGGGGCCTGGGTCCATGCCCCGGCCGACCCGCTGTGGGTCCGGTACATCCAGCGGCTGCTGGCCCGGGGTGTTCCCCAGTGGGGCTTCCTCCAGCCGGAGGGCACTTCGGCCGAGGGGCCACGGGTGCCGGTCCTTGCCGGCCCGCCGCCGAGCCCCACCACGCCGCTCTGCCTGGATGCCAGCCTGGACCGGCTGTCGGTGGTGCTGGCGTCCCACTCGCCGGGCACCTCGCCCGGGGGCCAGGTGGCCCTGTGCACCAAGTCCCGGCGGTTCTGCCGCACGGGGCTGCTCTTCCGCGCGACCGGCGTGCACTTCATCATCTACGGCGAGCAGCTGGTCATCGCCGCGCGCCAGGAGCTCATGGCCTACCGGCTGACGCAGCTCACCGATGACACCCTGTGGGCCAGCCCGGTGGTCATGGCCACTCCCTCGGCCGAGCATGGGGTGGCTCTGCAGTTGGACCTGCAATCGCGCGTGCCGGTGGCCGCGGCCCTGCGCCAGGCCGAGGCCCTGCGTGCCCGGCGACCCGGCTCGTACCCCGGCCTGGAGCCCCTGCGGGATTCCACCCATCGCCCGGTGCCGGAGTGGGCCGTGCGTCTGGTGGCCGACTCCTTCTCGGCCATGATGCCGACCGGGGGCCCGGCGGCCGGGGCGGCTCCCGACGGCGGCCCGGCGGCCGGCCCCTCCGGCCCCTCCGGCCCCCCCGGCAGTCCCGGCGACAGCCCCGGCAGTGATCTCATGTCCGACTCGGATGAGCTGCTGGAGTATGGCCATACTCCGCCGCCGGTCGGCGAGGCCTTCCCCCTGGAGGAGGGCCCGGCTGCCGGTGAGGCCCTCGGCATGCGTGTGCGGCTGGGCGCCTGTCGCTTTGCGCACCACAACCACCGGTCACTGGGGTCCTTCCAAGACCTGGTGGCCTGGGTGCAGGCCATTGCCCCATTGCCGGCGGACCTGCCGGCGCCGGGGCCCAACACCCCGGCCCCGGCCGCCAGCCCGGCGGTCCTGCTGTATAGCCTGGCCACCGGGCCCACGGCGGTGGTCTTGTCGCCGGCCGTGCGGGCGCCCTTCCTGCAGGTGGCCGGCCCGGCGGCGGCCTTCTGCAAGTCCATCATCACGTCGGACCTGCTGTCCGCCGACCCGCCTGTGGCCCTGGTCATCCGCGATGGCCTGCGTCTGGCAGCCACCCCCTCGCGCTTCGGGCCCTATTCGGCCAGCATCTTCGACCAGGTCCGCCTCCCGTGTTTTGCCTTTGCCAAGCCGTGGTGTGGCCGCGGCGCAGCCTCGCGCTCCTGCTGCCCCTCGTCGCCTTTGGGCATCTCTCCCCCTGTCCATATGGCAGTGCTGGCCACCCCCTGCTCGCTTCCGTTCTCTGCGCTAACCTATCACAATCATCATGCTCGTGTCCAATGTGTCCACGCCCACCATGCTTGGGTCCATTATATCCACGCCCACCATGCTTGGGCCCATCATGTTCACGCTCACCATGCTCGCACTCACCATGCACGCACTCACCATGCACGCACTCACCATGCACGCACTCACCATGCACGCACTCACCATGCTCACACTCATCATGCTCGCGTCCAACATGTCCACGTCGAACACTTTCCCACTCATCTCCAATACGCCCGCCGCTGCCGCTCCTGTCGCCCCCGCACCACCGCCACCAACTCCCCGGAAATAGCTGCGCCTCGTGTGTGCCCCGATTCTGGCCACCCTGGTGCCCTCATGCCCGGTGGCCTGCCGCATCGGGGCTCGGACCGCCGACCGGCACCTGCGGGACTTGCTGCTCGGGCTGCCGGCCCCGGGGGACCTGCTGGCCGCGCTGACGGATGGCCAGCGCCGGACGGCCCCCCTGCCCGGGTGGGCCACCTTCCGCCCGGTCACCGTGGATCTGGCTCACCCGCTGATCCTGCAAACCCTGTCGCCGCTGCAAGTGCGCCTGGACCTGCCGGCCGCCGGCCCGGCCGCGGGAGACGCCCCGGCGGCCGGGTCGCCGGATGCCCGGTCCCCCGGCACCCCGGCCCCGGGCGACCGGTTCCTCTACTGTCGCGTGTACCTGCCGGATGCGCATGTGCTGATCGACCGGTCCGAGCTGGACTGGCTCCTGCGCGGGTGCTTTGCCATGCTGTCGGCGGACAGCCCGCTGGAGCGCCACGCCCCGGCGGATCTCGATGCCCCCGGAGCCCTGCAGGGGCTGGATGTCCTGTGCTCCATCGAGTCGTTGGTGTTGTCGGTGTTCGACGAGCCGCCGGCGGCCGAGGTCGAGCAGACCTTCATGTCCCTGGCCCGGGATCTGACGGCCGCGGCCGAGGAGGAGCAGCTGGAGGCGCCGCGGCCGGGTGCGACCCCGTCGCAGCAGCAGCAGCAGCACGGCCCCCCGGCCGACGGAGGCCTGTGCATGCCGCTCTTCCGGCCGGCCGACACCCGGCAGCTGCTGGCCGTGGCCGACCTGCCCCAGGTGTCGGTGTCCTTCTCCTTCGAGAACCGCTCGGCCACCACCTCCTTCGACCTGTCCACCGGCCGGGAGATCTACATCTGGCGGCCGGCCAGCGACGATGCGCCGGTCCTGCTGCCGGCGCACGCCACCCCGGACCCGGCGCGCCATGCCATCGGCCCGGACCGCATCATTGTCCATCTGCCCAGTGGCGGGTCCACCAAGTACCGGTTCCCCGGCGGGGTGGCCGCCTGGATGGATGCCCTGGGCTCGCGCGATGTCGACCCGGACATGCAATCCCTCTGGAAGTGCACCCAGCCGTCGGCCGCCCTCCGGTGGCTCAACCGGCCGGGCGACACCAGCAGTGTGCGTGCCATGCCCTGCCGGGCGAGCCCCCGTCGGGGTTTGCCCGGGTGCATGTGGCCTGGCCCTTTGCCTGAGCGCCGTTGTGCCCCCCCCCCCCGTGCCCGATTTCACTAACTTGACCTTGTCCCCCCCCCCCCTCCTTCCCCCCCCCCTCTTCCGCCATTTCCCTAGCTACTCCTTTGCGCTTCGACCCCCCCCCCCCCCCCACACAAAGACCAATGTCATGCTCCTGCAGCCGACCATCGTCTGTCAGAAGCCGGTGGTACTGCATGCGCTGCAGCGCTTCATCCATGCCGATGCGCGCCGGCGGTCGGCCCTATCGCTGGCTCTGGTCCCGGCGCCATTGGCCCAGGTGGACGGTGTGCTGGTGCCCCAGGTGGCCGGAGCACCCACCTCCAAGGACAAGCAATTCCTCAGCATCTCCGGCCTGAGCCTCGTGGTGCCGGTGTATGTGCCGGCCGAGGAGCCGACCGAGGGCGGCAAGGCGCCCGGGCCAGCCAGCCCGGGCCTCCGCCCGGCCGGGTCCCTGCTCAGTGTCCTGTGCCTGAGCTCGGCCGAGGTGTCGGTCAGCTACTTCAACTACCTGGAGGAGCACACTCGCGCGCGGTACCTGCACCAGCTCAGCGCCCCGGGGGCCCTGGCCCGGGACATCTTCCACTGCTACCTGCTGGGGAACCGCCTGGCGGCCGAGCTCGGCCGCGTGGGGATCAGCACCTTCGCCAGCCTGGACGCGGCCCTGGGGGCCGTGGCGGAGTCCATGCGCCGGGAGCGCCTGCAGAAGGCCGCCTCGCCGCTGTCGCCGTCGCCCTTGGCGTCGCCGGCCTCGGCCGAGGCGCTTGCCGGCCGCGCGCCGGTCGACGGCCCCGCCGTCACGAGCACCCCCACCGGCGATGCGCTCATCCAGCCCTTCTCCATCGAGGCCAACCTGACGGCCTTCAGCTACCTGGACCCGTCGCTCGAGGCGGAGGACCGCCGGCCCGTGACCCACGGTGACTTGCGCTTCCTCGATGGCCCGGTGGTTCTGCGCGTGAGCCCGGCCGATCTGGCCCTCATCAATGCCGCGTCGCAGGTCCTGGCCGAGAGCTACCTCCCGGCCCCGGCCGGGGCGGCCATCGTGCCGGACTTCGCCCGGTCCCCGAAGGACGTGATCTTCCATGGTGCTGGCGGCGGTGGCGGGAGCGCCGCGGCCCCGAACGCCGGGGGCCCCCGCCCCGGGGCCCTGGGCCGCGAGTCCATGGCCAGCTTCACCTCCTTCGATTTGGCCACCGGCGGCACGTCCATGGGCGAGGTGCCGTTGTCCTCCTCGCCGGAGGACCCGTCCATGTTGTCCCCCGGTCAGCCGATCCTCTTCTCGCGGAACCAGACCTCGGCCTCCTTCACCCCGGCCGATCCGATGGACTACCTGGCCGGCGACTCGTTGGTGGCAAGCGCTGGCGGCGCTGGCGGCACTAGCGGCGAGGCTTGTCTCCCCTCCTCAGCCTCTCTCGAGTCCATCAACTATCTGGACGAATGGGTGCGCTCTCTCTAGGCGGTCTCTTTTTTCTCTCCCCTCTCTTTCTCTCCCCCTCTCCTCCCTCCCTCTCTCTCTTCTCTCCTCACCTCACACTCGCCACATCTCGCCTGACCGCCCCTTGCCCCGACACACAGGACCTCGGCGCCGAAAGTGAACTTGGCGGCTCCCTGTCCCGGCCACGTCGCGACTCGCTGGCCTCACTGGCCTCCATCTCGTCGTTGGCCTCGTCGGTGTCGGTGGCCGGGGGCCCCGGGGCCCATGGCGCCGGGGACCCGTACTTCACGTCGTCCGGCGGCGGGCACCTCGCCGGGCCGCCCGGCGGCTCCGGCGGCGGGCTCACCCACTCTGGCTCGGTGGCCAGCGGCATGTCGCAGGCGTCCAATCACCGGCGCAGCCGGATCCGCATCCACTCCAACCAGATCCGCGTGGTGCTGCTCGACCACCGAACCGGAGCGCCGCTTTTCCACTTCCAGCTGTCTAAGGTCCAGTCGCGGCTCTTCTGGACCCCGTCCAACACCTGGGGCATCGCCATCCGGTCGCAGGCCTCGCTCGATCAGTACCCGTACATCCGCTCGGCCTGGGAGCCGGTCCTGCTTCCCTGGACATCGATGGTGTCATATGTGGCCCGGTCGGTGCACAGCAACGCCCTGGCCTCGGCCTCCAGCGAGCCGGTCACCGCGTCGCTGCTGAAGCTCGAAGCCACGTCCTCCATCGCCGACATCACGGTCACTCCATCGTTGTTGAGCAATGTCTCCCGGTGCGTGGTCAGGCCGGCTGGCCCGTGCCTGCGTGGTCTCCCCTCCCCTCGCCCTTCCCTGGCGACATGCGCCAATGCCCTGACACCATCCCTTCCCATGGCCGCTCCTCTCTCCCTCTCTCGCTCTCCCTCCCATGCGGCGTGCGCATTTCACAGTCTCCTGCTCCAGCCGGACCCCCGCTCGCAGAACATGTCCTTCCGATCGCCCTTCAAGCCCTACCTCATCATCAACCGTCTGGGCGTGCCGCTGACGCTGGAGCTTCGCGGCGGGCAGCGCGTGCGTTTCCGCTCTCCTGCCTCGCTGCCCCCCCCGCCCCCTCTCGCTGCTATTCCGCATGCTGACCCGTCATCCTCCGTCGCACGATGCCGCGCGCCCACCCGCCCGCAGGTCATCCCCACTGACGAGCACATTCTGCTGGATCTGCCACGCAGCTCCACCACCTCGCAGACCTCCCTGACCCTGGTCATCAAGGACGTCTTCGACATGGTGCGCAGCCCCGACACAGCACCTGTGTCTTCTTCCCGCTCGGGCCTCCCGCCCCCACCTCCCCATCGCCCCTGCTCTAATCCCCTCGTGTTTGATCCTTCCCCCCCCCCACACACACACGCACACGCACACAGGTTGCCACCGTCTGGCCGGATCAGATCGGCTCGACCCCCTTCATCCCCGGGCAGCTGCGGAACCTGCGACACCTGGACGGAATGGCCAGCACCTTCGAGCATCCCTCCTACCCGCTGGCCATTGTCCGCACCCGGCTGCTCGGCTCGCGCCGGGTGCTGGAGGTGACCTCCTCGCGCATCTTCGAGAATGGCACCCCCAACCCGCTGGTGCTGCAGCTTCTGCCCCCGACCGGCATGCCGACCATCCGCATGCTCCCGGAGGCCGTGGCCAACCTACCCGACAAGTCGGTTGTCGTCGGTGCGTCCCCCCCCCTCCCTCCCTCTCTCTCTTGTGCCCCGGGCTCTCTCTCCCTCCCTCTGCCTGCGCCCCTCTGCCGCCCTGCCTGTCTCACACGGCCCCTGCCGCGCTGTGCACCCCCCCCCCCCAGCCCCGGGCGAGACATTCGCCGTGCCGCTGCTCTACTGCTTCCCCGGGGCCCGGGCGCGCATTCGGCCCAACCTGCGTGGGTACTCCTTCAGCAGCCCGATCCTCTTTGTGGCGCCGATCGCCGGGGCCGACCCGAAGCAGCAGCCGCAGTCGCAGCAGCACGCCGTGTCGCCGGCCCTGGCCGGGCCCGTGCTACGAGAGCTCCAGCTCATCAAGAGCCTGTACAGCAACCCGCTGTTCGTGTGCGAGGCCGTCGGGCCCAAGACCGACACCGGCACCCGGGCGCCCCCGCGCCTGCACCCCTACTTCTTCGGGGTCCGCCTGGACCGGCTGTCCATCGGCTACAGCGACCTGCGCATGTTCCGGTTTTCCATTCGCCTGTCGGCGGCCATCTCCAACCGGCTGCCGTACGATTGCGACGTCAGCCTGACCATGGTGCCGGCCGATGCGCGGGCCTCGCCGAGCACGGTGCTCATCCGCCTGGCCCGGGGCGAAGGTGCGCCTGGCCGCCACATGCACGCACGCTTGCCCAGCACACGCGGGGGCTGCCCCCCTCCCCCCCCCCCCCCCCCCCCCCCCCCCCCCCCCCCCCCCCCCCCCCCCCCCCCCCCCCCCCCCCCCTCCACACACACACACCGCCCCTCCGGCCCGCGCCTCGATACTAACCGGCAGTTCCCCTGCCCGGGTCCATGGCGCCCCCACGCACAGAGCGCCGCCTGCCCTTCAGCCCCTTCGACACCCGGCTGGCCGATGTGCACATGGCCGTTCGGCCGCATTGCTCCAGCTTCGGCACCTTTGCCTGGACCACCAAGGCCCTGAACCTGCCGCTGGTCAGCAACATCCGGTCGTACCCGCCCTCGGGCGCGCGCTTTTACATGGACGTCGGCGCCCTGGCCGGGTGCCTGCGGGCCGACGTGACATACGGCTTCCTGGAGGGGATGTTCCAATCGGCCTCGGCCTCGATGCAGACCCCGGCCCAGCAGCAGGGGCTGTCGGATGCCCCGCGCGGGGCCGACCTCATGGTGCGCCTGTGCAGCCCGGTGGTCATGCTCAACATGACCGGCCTGCCGATTGCGGTGCGGCTGTCGCGGGTGCCGCAAAATGCCGCGGCCTCCGCGGCCGACGGCAACTCCGGCACCGGGTCCGGCGGCGGTGCGCCCGGCGGCAGCGGGTCCGGGTCCACGGCGGCCGGCGGCGGCGGCGGCACCAGCCTGGTCCTCGGCCAGGCCACCTCGGCCTTCGTGCCCAGCCTGACGGCCCTCCGGCAGCGCATCTTCCCGGGGGTGTCATCGCCCGAGGTGCGGTCCTTCCAGCGGCACCCCTCGGCCGAGGTGTTCGACCGGTGCGTGCAAATTGTCCAGGCCCTGTCGATGGAGGCCGGGGTCAGCCCCTCGGGCCGGGCGCCCGGCGACACGGCCGCCATCCGCCGGGACGTCCTCTTCGGCCTGACGGCCCTCATGAACACCGACGGCCGGAGGGACCCGGCCACGGCCGAGGCCGAGGCGGAGATGGAGTTCCTGGAGCGCATCCGCCGGCGGTCGCCGATCTGCGCGCAGTTGGCCGATCCGCCCGGCAGCGCGGAGATCGCCCTGATCACGGCCCCCGGGTCGCCGGGGGCCGGGCCCGGTGGCGCTCGTGCGTCCGGCCGCCAGCCCGGCGCCCCGTGGTGGTATGCGGTGTCGTGTCCGCAGCCGTTGCCGCTGCCGGTGTCCAACCACCGGCAGGTGGCCGCGGCCGCGGCCAACGCCACCCCCTCGTCCCCGACATCGGCCGGGCCCCCCTCGGCCAGCCCGCTGGGGAATGCCGGCACCGGGCCCGGGGTGCGGCTGCTCCAGGCCGGGCCGCATGATGTCTCGCGCTTGGGCCTGGAATTGACGGTCCCCCTGTCGCGGAGTGGCTCCAACTCGGCCGGGTCCATCTCCATGTCCCGGCGGGTGCAGCTGTCCGTCTGCTCGGAGGGCCTGGTCACGGCGCCGACCACGCTGGAGTACGATTGCGAGGTGGCCATCCGGGTGATGGACGCCTCGGCCTTCACCTCGCCGGAGGCGCTGCTGGCGCAGGCGGCGGCGGCCGCGACGTCGGGGACCGTGGCGGCGGCCGGCAGCCCGCCCGGGGCCGACATGCCGGGCACCGGGGGGGCCGCCCTGGCCGCCCTGTCGGATGGCTATGCGCCTGACACCCGGGTGCTGGTCATCCGCCCGGCCCACACGCTGCTCAATTCGCTGCCCTACTCGGTGCGCGTGCGCGTCGGGTATGGCACCGGCCCGGAGGGGGAGCTCCTGCTGCGCCCCGGCGAGCAGGTGCCCTTCTACTGGCCGCGCGGCTTGCGCCGGGCCTTCAGCCTGCGGCTGGACCACCAGGAGGGTGCCGGCCGGCGGACCGCCGCCTCGGATGGGCCCCTGCCGGACCGCCGGAGCCGGGTCACCTTCAGCCAATGGTCCAGCCCCCTGGTGCCGGGGTCTTCCTTTGCCTCGGTGGCCGGGGCCAGCACCGCCGGGTCGGAGGATGGGGACTCCGGCGACGGGCCGGCCGACGCCGGGCACCCCTCCTCCCGGCACCGGTCCACCACGGTCCGGCTGTCATGCTGCGCGCATGACACCTGGCGCATGGCCGACGGCGGCATGGCGCGGCCGCTCATCCGCGGCCAGCATCCCCTGCCGCCGGTCGACGCGTCGAGCTACGTCTGGCCGGACCCCTTCTCGGCGCATGAGCTGCTGCTCGGCTCGACGGACTTGCAGCTGCCGCGCACGGCCCCCGGCGCCGGGCCGGACGACGTCCCGCCCCAGGGCAGCCCCCTGGTGCCGGAGTCCTTCGATGAATTTGACCTCTTCATCACGGTCCACGAGTTCGTGGCCCCGGGGTCCGGCGTGCGGGTGCTCTCCCTGGCGGCCATCCCCCCGCCGATGGTCCTGCAAAATGCCACCCCGACGCCGATCCTGGCCCGGCAGCGGGACAGCCGGGCCGGGGTCATCTACCTCCTGCGGCCGGGGCAAATGCGGCCCCTCTGCTGGGACGACCCCTTCAAGGGCCAGGCTTGCTTCGATGTGGTCAGCCTGCACCCGAGCCAGCAGGTCATCGACATCCCGGCCACCGGGATGCTCACCTCGCGCAACATGCCGGCGCTCCTGCAGCGGAACCTCCTGCGCGACTTGTACAGCCCCTCTCTCTGGCAGGCGGCCACCATGGTCCTGCCATTTGGCCGGCCGGGCACCGGGGGCCGCCGGGGCCGGGCCGGTCGCCGGGGCACAGCCCGCGCTGCCGGAGCCCTCGCCGGCCCCTCGGCCGATGGTGCGCCGGCGGCCGCGCAGCCGCAGCCGCAGCCGCAGCCGCAGCAGCACCAGCTCCCGGCTACTCGGTCCACCTCGTCATTGGTGTTGGTGGCCCCGCCCGGCACCCCGGGGGCCGTGGTCACGCCGGTTCCCTTCCAGGTGTGCGTCTTCAGCCAGGCCAGCGCGCGCATCCTCTACATCTTCGACCCGCGGGCCGGGGCCCCGGAGCAGCCGCTCTTCCCGCCGGCGGTGGATCTGCTGGCGGCGCTGGCGGCGACCGGGGCCACCGGCGGCGACCCCCCGGGGTCGTCCGGAGGGCGTCCTCGGCCCGGCGGCGCGGCCTCCTCCCGGCGCCTGGCCGGGCCCCGGGCCGCACGCGAGCCCATCTCCAAGGCCCCGGCCACCACGCGTTGTCAGATCTTCCTCTCCGGCGTGCGGGTGTCCCTGGTCGATGACACGGTCCTCCAAACGCCGGCTCGGGCGTCGATCGGCACTTCGACCGGCGCCTCGGTCATGGTCCCGGATGGCGGCTCCTTCGGTGTCATGGAGGTGGCCCTGCTGAGTCTCGACCAGATCAGCATCCTGGTGGCCTCCTCGCCGGACCGTTGGTGGCGCATGCGCACGTCCATCCAGAATGTCCAGGTCCGTCGGCCACGCCCGTGTGTGTTCTGCAGTGTAGGTGCAAGTGTGGGTGCAGGTGTAGGTGCAGATGTAGGTGCAGGTGTAGGCGCACACGCACACGCACACACCCACACCCACACCCACACACACACACACACACACACACACACACACACACACACACAGACACACACACACACAGACACACACGCCCATACACACACACACACACACACGCGCTAACACACTTTGTCCCATGATTCAAACGCCCCTGTCCGTGCCGTGACGATGTTCCCCTTTCTGCCTCTCCTCTCTCGCACCCACCCACAACCACATACATCATCACACCCAAAAACAGATGGACAACCAGTACCCCTGGCCCCGGTGGGAGGTAGCCCTCTTCACACACCGGACCAAGTCCGAGTGGGGCGCCCGGCGTCTGGCCGGGCAAACCTCCGCCCGAGACATCCGCACCGGTGCCGCATCGGCGGTCCAGGCCCCGGAGACGGTGGCCCACGCCGGGCCCACCCTCTCGGACTTGGATGACTTCGATGACTTCGACGATCGGTCGCAGGCAAACTTCGATGACGATAGCGATGACGGGGCCTCCTTTGACGAGGAGCACGGCGCCCCGCGGCGGGACTCCTTCTCATCGCGCAGCAGCGCGCACTCCGGCGGCGGCGGCGGCGGCGGCAGCAGCCATGAGCCGGCCCGCCCGGCGCCCTTCCTCTTCTTCGACTTCGTCGAGCAGGACCCGGTCGCCTCGGTCGGCATTGTCAATGCCCGCGTCATCCCGCGGCTCATCCTCCACACGCGCCCCTTCGAGATCAAGCTGGACGAGGTGCGCCTTCCTCCCCCCCCCCCCCCCCCCCCCCCCCCCCCCCCCCCCCCTCCCGCCCCCCCCCCCCCCCCCCCCCCCCCCCGGTGGGCAGGGCGCTTTTCGCCTCGTCCGTGCCCTTTCCGCCTCCATGGGCCCACGCTGACTCCTGTTCCCCTCTCCCGCCTTCGCATCTCCCCCCTTCCCCCGTTGCCCGGTTTCGCGGCTCGCAGTACCTCCTCAACCGGCTGCTCTTCCTGGCACGCAACATACTCATCGAGCCGCAGCTCCGGCGGTCGGAGGCCGGGTCGTCGAGCTCGCGAGCCATCACGATGGCCCAGTCTGCCGGACACTCCACTGGCCATGTCAGCCCGCTGGACAGTGTGCTCGTGCTGCCGGTCACCTCGGCCCACGGCTCCGGAGCCGGGGCCTCCTCGGCCGGGCACCCCGCCATGCCGATCTTTGTGGGCACCCTGCAGGTGGGCCCCTTCCCGCTGGCGTTGTCCTTCGCCACGGCCACGGTGGCGCCGCGCCTGCGCCAGGACCCGCGCGATCGCGCGGCCGCGGTGTTCTTTGCCCGATGGTGGCGCGGGGCGCCGCTGCTTCTGCCCACCGCCGGGGCCTCGGTGTCCAGTATCGTTGCCGGGGCAGGATCCACCGGCACCGGCACCGGCACCGGCACCGGTACCACCACTACCAGCACCAGCATCATTACCAGCACCCCCACCGCCGTCGGCGCCGGCGCCACCGGCCCCAGACGCGGGGAGCTGGTGCCCCTGCGCTCGGAGCCCACCATCGACCGGCCGCCTGCCGATGAGGCTGGCTTGTCGGATTGCGATGTGCTCGGGCGCTTTGCCTGGCTCGGCGCCGTGGACTATGCCGTCCTCCAGGTGCGACCCTTCCGCTTTGGGCAGACGGTGACCGCGGCATCGGCCCGGCGGGCCGGGGCCGGGGCCGGTGCGGCCGGCACCCGCCCCGACGGCTTGGAACTTGTCCCGGTGGAGGTGCTGCTTTCGCTGGTGACGTCGCACTTCCGGGACGAGGTCATGTGGCAGCTGCACCGGCTCATCGGCGCGGTCGACTCGCTCGGCAGTCCGGCCAGCATGATCCGATCCTTCCGTGCCGGGATGAAGGATATGCTGGCCGACTCGCGGGCCGTCCCTCAGGCCGTCCACGGGTCTGCGGCGGCGGCGGCGGCGGCGGCGGCGGCGGCCGCGGCGCCGGCCACCCCGTCGACCATCCCCCGCAGCGGGTCGGTGTCCTCCATGGAGTCCTTCCGGTCGCGGTCATCCTTCGCCTCAGTGTATGAGGATGTGGAGTCGCCACAGGCGGCGGCGGCGGCGGCGGCGGCGGCGGCGGCGGCGGCGGCGTCCACCGGTCCCGGCCGCGGCCCCCCGGCACACGGCCAGCATGGGGCCGCCGCGCCCGGGCCAGCGTCGCAAAATGTCTTCGACGACATTCGCCGGGGGACCTCCTCCCTCATGAAGCACTCGGCGCATGGGGTCCTGACGCTGTCCAGCAAGCTGGCCGGCGCGGCCGGCCGCAACCTGTCCAAGGCCTCCATGGACGAGGAGTTCCAGGCCCGGCGGAATGCCGAGCTCGATGGGCGCCGGCCGCTGTCCGTGGCGGATGGCGCGTCGCAGGGCTTCAAGGGCCTGCTGTCCGGCGTGGTGGGCGGCATCACCGGCACCGTGACCCAGCCGATACAGGGGTTCCGCCAGGATGGCGCCCGTGGCCTGGCCCTGGGGCTGGGCCGCGGTGCGGCCGGGCTCCTGATCAAGCCGGCCGCCGGGCTGGCGGACTTCGTCGGGGCCCTGACCGCCGGGTCGGCCGGGGCGCTGGACATTTCCAGTGCCGACCCCCCGCGCCGGCGGCTGCCCCGGTTCATCTCGCCCCTGGTGGACCCGACCACCTTCCCGGAGCATTTGAGCCTGGCGCACAGCTCGCGGCATTCGCCCCTGGCGCTGGCTCCCGGCGGGTCGGGGTCGATCGTGGGCGCGCGCGGGGGCGGCCGGCCTGCCGCCGGGCCCGGGTCGCCCCCCTCGCCGGGGGGGCCCACCGGCCCGGGGGGCCCCTTCGCGGCCAGCTCCATCGAGGAGGTGCTCCTGGTGGCGGCCATCGGGGCCCAGGGCCTGTCGCCCTTCGACCCGTCCACCGCCTTCGGCCAGTATGTCTTCATGTCGCTGACGCGCTATCGCCAGGTGGAGGCCCTGCTCGGGGACGCCATGCTGGACTACTTCGAGTGTGATGCCATGGGGTCCGGGCCGCAGTCGGAAAAGGCCCTGCTGGCCACGGCGGTCCACTTGCTGGTCATCTGCCCGGCGCGCTTCAAGCCCACCAGCACCTCGAACACCTTCGTGGAGAAGCGCATCGCCTGGACCGAGGTGTCCACCTTCTACCGGAAGGACCGGTCGGTGGTGGTGGTCTTCGGTGGGGCGGCCGCGCATCCGGGCTCCCCGCCGGCCGTCGGCGCCGGCCCCCGGCGCAGTGTCCTCCACTCGCAAACGGACACCTTCACCCCCACCTCGGAGGCGGCCCTCGGCCGGCTGCTGGCCATCATCGGCGACCGGGTGGTCAACGAGCTGGACGCCACGCGCGGCCAGCTGGACCTGATCCTCAGTTCGCAGTACTGGTGAGCCGGGCCGTTATGGCCGCTGCGCGCGCCGCGGACCGCGCATTCTCCCCGGCCCCTTGCATGTGCCCAAATACATGGTCCTCCCCCAGCGCGCACCCGCGGGTGCGTGCGTGCAAACGCCTCGGCTTTCTCGGTGTGCCCCTGTTTGTGGGGGCGGTCTATTTTTCCTCCCCGAGAGAAGGGGGGAGGGGTGGGGCAAGATGCCGGGCAGTTGGGCCTGAGAGCCCGGCTCGGGAGGGGGGGGGGGGGATGCTTGCGCCGTCTCGCCCGGGGGAGGAGGGCCAGGGCGAGAGACGAAGAGAGCGCCCGGTTGACGCTCATGCGGCAGATGCGGCCCCGGGGCTCGGGCCAGCATCCGGGGCCCAGTCCTGGCCAGGAGCGGTGTGGGAGGTGGCGACAGGGCCGCGCTCAGCGCCAGCACCACCGCCACCAGAAGGCGCCCGGGCCCCCGGACCGGGGGAGGTCAAGTCAAATTCACACGGATCTCGGCCTGGCCCGAGGCCCGGTCCCAGGTCAAACGCCTGGTCGAAATCCGCCGGGTCAATGTGCTGGAGCTCGAAATCCGCCGGGTCCAAGTCCACCGGATCGAAATCCGCCGGGTCCAAGTCCGCCGGGTCGATCTGCCCGGGCTCGAAATCCACCGGGTCCAAGTCCGCCGGATCGACGTCCAGCTCAGGCCCCGGCCCAGGGGCAGGGGAGGGGACAGGACCGCCGGTCGGCCCCTGCCCGATGATGGAGTCCAGCTCGGCCGCCGGCAGGACACGGCTGCCATGGGGGTCTGGGGATGTCGGGGAGCAGGCCGTGTCAGACAGGGCACAGGGCAGGCGAAGGGCAAAGTGACGGCGGCCATGTGGGAGGTGGCATGTACCGGAACCCAGCAGCTGGGCAATGTGCGGCCAGAGGCCGAGCTTGGTGCCGGCCGGCCGCGGCCCCGGCACCACGAGCGTGTCCTGCGCCACGATGACCAGGTGGCACCTGGCGCGCGAAAGGGCCACATTGATGCGCCGCGGGGCCTCGACAAACTCGTCCACTTGCCCCGGGCGGCTGGTGGCCGCCTTGACGCAGCTCAGCAGGATGATGTCCCGCTCGGCGCCCTGGAAGGCGTCCACCGTGGAGACGTGCGGCAGCCCTGGGCCCGGCCGGCCGGACCCGCCATCGCCCGGCTCGGCCGCGCGGTCAAAGAGCCCGAGGCGCGCCTGGGCCTGCTCCAGCAGCCCCTGCACCAGGCGCGCCTGGGCCCGGTACAGGCAGATGACCCCGATGCGGGCCGGGTCCACCCCGTGCACCGCCACCAGGCGGTACACCGCCGCAAAGAGAACCTGGGCCTCGCCCGGGTGCGAGAGGCTCCGGCCGCCAGGGCCGCCGCCCGCCCCGGCAGGCGCCCCGCCACCCACCCCGGCGGCCATCTGGCCGAGGAAGGAGCGCACCGGCCCGGGCAGGGTGCCCAGCTGGACGGCCGCCGAGTAGCCCGGCGGCACGCGCACCAGCGACACCGGCGGCAGGGAGGCCAGCACCGGGCCCCGGCCGGCCACCTCGGGCGCCGTGGCAATCCGGCCGCCATAGAAGAGCTCATTGCACAGGCGCACGATGGCCGGGTGGCACTGGACGGCCGGGGGGTCAGTGGATCGGGAAAGGCCAAGAGGAAGGAGGGCGGAGGCGGGAGGGGGGGGGATCGACACGAACGCACGCGATATTGCGTCAGCAGCCCGGCCACCGGGGCCCCGACATCGCGCAGACGCTCGAACAGGGTCCGCTCCAGGCCGGCGGTCGGCCCGGGCTCGGCCGGCAGCCGGGAAGCCAGCCGGCCATCGGCCCGGCCTGGAGCAAAGGGGCTCGTCAGAGTCGGGGCCAGCTGCAGCGGATCGCCCACCAACACCAGATGCCCCGGGCGGAAGCGCGTCAAGGCCACCAAGCTGGCCGGCTCCAGGAGCTGGCTGCACTCATCGATCAGCAGCAGGTCCACGGCCGGGGCCGGGTCGCCGGAGCCCCGGGCATCGGCCTTGGCGGATTCCGGCCGCGCGTCCCCCGGCACGGGGAACACGTCGGCCAGCGTGCGCGACGTGGCGCACGAGGCCACGGTCGTGGCCACCAGGAACGCCTCGAGGACCAAGTCCCGGGCGCGGTGCGTGCGCAGGCGATCCAGCGCCCGGCGCAGCCACTCCCGGCCCGGGTGCTGCGGGTCGCGCAAGAGCTCCTGCAGGTCGCGGATCTCATCGTCATGGGCCGACGGCCGGGCCCCGGCCAGGAATGGCAGCACCGGCGGGGCCACCTTCGGCACCGGGCCCAGCCGGCAAAAGTGCTCGAACCCCAGCCGCAGCAGGGCCTGCAGCACGCTGTCCACCGCGGTGTTGGTCAGCGCACAGAGGGCCAGGCGTGGGGCCGGGAATCCCGGGCCCCGGCCGCCGCCCAGCCGGGCCCCATGCTCCCGCAGCAGGGCCCCGGCCCGGTGCAGGAAGACAATGGCCACCGCCAGCAGGCGCGACTTGCCAGCCCCGAAGACCCCATGCACCAGGGTCACGTCGGGGGACGGGCCGCCGGCCGGGGCCCCGGCGGGGGGCGGCTCCCGCACCGGCGGGCACCGGCCGAAAGTGGCCCCGCACAGCCGCCCCAGGACCGCCGCCTGGTCGTCATTCAGCGCATACTCGGCGATGGTATCCTCGCGCAGGCGGCCGATGGCCGCGAGCAGGGCCTCCCCCGGGCGCCAGGTGGCCGACGGCCGCACCCGGCGGAAGTAGCAGCCGATGTCCCCCCCGGGGTCGGGGCTGCTCGGCAGTGGACACGGGACCTGGAAGATGGGCGAGCGTCGGTCGGCCGAGGCGTGCGCAGCGGCCACCAGCTCCAGCGACTCTGTGGGCAAGCAAACAGCGGGGCCGTGTGTGTGTGTGTGTGCAGAGGAGGTAGGTCAGAAAAGACACGCAGCACGGGGGCAAGGAGCCACGGCCGGGGGAGCATGCATCACGCACCCAACATGCTGACCTCGGAGGAGGCATTGACCAGGCGGATGCCAAAGAGCCCCGGCGACAGGGTCCCCTTGTTGGAGGCCAGCGACCGGGAGGTGGCCAGCAGCGCCCGCCAGCCGGCCGGGTCTTGTGTGATGGGAGCCATCTGTAGGGGGGGGGTGACGGGCAGCCGGGCAGCCGGACAGCCGGGCGGGCGGGGTCAGGATGGGTGCCACCGAGTGGCCGTGCGCGAGCCGGTGTGCCGCAAGACCGGCAACGGGCGTACCTCGATCCCGCCGGAGGAGTCCGGCCCGAAGAAGGTCGACTGGGCCAGGAGAAAGCGGACTGAGGCCGGCCCCGGGCTCGGGCTCGAGCCCGGAGGAGAGCCGGCCGGCGGGGCAAAGACCCGCAGCAGGTCGTGGAAGGAGCACAGGCCCCAGATGTCCTCCTTGGCATAGCTGCGCGACGCATGTCAGCATGGCGGCCGGCGTGGCGGAGCCGCAGCGGGGCAAAGGCAAGCGGGCGCACCTGGAGGAGGGGAGCCGGCCCTTGCCCAGGGTCAGCGTGTACAGCTGCTCGTCGGCGCCCTTGCGGAAGGGGGACTTCTTGGTGCTGCGCCGGGCGGAGGGGGGAGGTCAGATGCTGGGCAGGGACAAGCAGTAGATGCGGGAGGGGAGGCGGGGGGGGGGGGCGAGGAGGAAAGCAGCAAGAGCCGACCAGACGCGCGCGCTCACGCCAGGGGAGGAAGAGGGGGGGGGGGGGCGGAAGGCACGTACTCAAGCCAGCAGAGCGCATGCGCGGCCACCTGGTGCTTGCGCAGGGAGAACTCCCAGCCGGAGGCGGCCTGCCGCGCCGGGGGGGCCGGGCCCTCGCGCCTGCCGGCCGCCAGGCCCCGGGCAACGCCCTGCATGAAGCCCGCCACGCGGTGGATTTCCAGCTGCAGGAGCTCCGCCACGCCGAGGGAAAACCCCGCGGCATAGGCCCCGGGCGTGGGAAAGCGCGCCGGCAGGGCCACCGCCCGCCCGGTGGGCACGGGCTCCGGCACCGGGAGCACGAGCTCCAGCATGCCGAGGGCCGCCGGACCGAGGACCGGGTCCCGGGACGGCCGGGCGCCCGGCCCCCAGCGCGGCACCTTGGCCACCGGGGGGGACCCGTCCGGTGGCGAGGCGGCCCCCTCGTCCTCGGCCGGCTGGGGGTGCGGCCGCGGCCGCGGCCGCCGGCCCGGCCCGGGTGGCACATCGACCGGCATGGACACCGGTTCGGCCGGCGGGCCCCGGGCCCCGGGGGCCGAGCGAGGGGACCCGCCCCCGGCCGCCGGGGGGGTACCTTCGGGCGTCGGCGGCGACTCGCCCGGGCCATCCTGCAGAGCACGCAAGATGGCTTCCAGGGAGACCACCGGCTCGGCATCCCCCCCGGCGGCCATGTTGCTGGTGCTGTCCTCCGCGAAGAGGTCCATCACGGAGAGCGCCGCGCGCGAGGCGGGCCCGGGAGCAGCCGGGGGCCCGGCCGCCAGGCTGACGCTTGGCGGCCCGGCCGCCGCGCCCCCATGCTCACTCGCCCCCACGCCATAGCCGGCCATCAGGAAGGCCGACACGTCGGCATCCTGCCCCGGGGCCCGTGCCAGGGGGCCGGCCCTCGGCGCCGGCGCCCCGGGCGCCCGACCGTACGCCCCCAGCAGCAGCATCTCCAGCGCATCATCCTCGGCCGCGGCCTCGCCAGGTGTGGCCGGATCGGCGGGCGCCGCCTCGGCCGGCTGGGCCTCCGGCTGCTCCCGGCCGGCCGACCCCGAGCCCAGCATTTGCCCGACCGAGCGGAACTCCAGCCGGGGAGGGCGCCCGGCCGCCGGGGCCGGCTCCGGGGCGGGCCCCGGCCCCGGGGCGGGCTCCTGATCCCGCGCCGGCGGGGCCACCTGCTGGAGAAGCGGCCGCGAGCCGGCCGGCCGGCGGCGCAGGCCGATGGCCCGTGGACGCGGCGCTGGTGCCACGGCCGCCGGCGCGTCGCCGGCCCCGTCGGCCGGCTCCGCCAAGACAGCCGCCGCCGTCGGACCGACAGGCCGCACGGGCACCGGCGGCCGCCATGCGGGTGCGCCGCGGGCCACCGGCACCGGCGGGCCCCTCGCAACCGGGCCCGGGTCCGCGTCCGCACCGGGACTCTCGGCCAGTGGGCCCGGGCTGGCAGGTGCCCCGGAATCGGTCCCCGGGCCGCCGGGATCCACAACGCCCAGGAAGGTGTCCACCAGGACCAGGGCCTTCTCCACCTCGAGCTCCAGGCCGTCCGGCAGCCAGGGGGACCGGGGGTTCAGATCGCCGAGGTGCTGGCCGGAGCCGACCGCCAGGCCGGCCACGCTGCCCCCGCCGTTGACCCCCTCCCGCAGGGCCCGGACCACAAAGCGCCGGCTGGCCGGGTAGTAGCGCAGCCGCGCGTCGTGGTAGATCTTGCGCCGCTGGGTCTTGTGCGAGGTGTACTGGGCCTCATACTCCTCGTAGTGCTCGGGCGGCTCGGCATCGGCCGATGGCCCGGCCCCGGGGTGCGGCCCGCCATGCCGAGCGGCCGCCGCCGACCGCTGGAGCCGCGGCTGCGACCGGGAGTACATGCGCGTTCTCGCACGAGCGCGGGCTCGGGGCAGGCAGAGACAGGGGGCCCCCGGGGCAGCCAGCAGCGGGAACCCGAGAGAGGGAGAGGGAGAAAAAAAAAAGAAGACAAGCAGAGGGGAAGCCAAAGGCAGAGGTGTTCAGCAAGTGGGGCCTGGCAGGCGCGCCGGGCAGGAAGACGGGGAGGGGGGGAGGGGCAGATTGCTGATCGGTCCCCGCCCGGGACCCCGCGCGATCTCCTCGGCGCCTCTTAATGTGTGTGTGTGTGTGAGAGTGCGCGCGCACGGTGCCCGGGCGGCGGGGCGGCGGCGAGGCGCCCGGGCCCCCCCGATCGGGGCTGCCGCACGCCCGGTGCCAACGCATCAGTGCGCGGCCCTCGGCCGGTGGCGCCGCCCGCCCGATGATCACGCGCGCGGCGCCGCGTCTCCACATGGACGCGTGCATGCGCGCACAGCGGCGCCCCGGCCAGTCCCCCCCCCCTGGTCCTTCGCGCCCCGCTTCCTCGACGGCAACCCGGCGGAGGGCAGCACGCCCCCGAGGATGACGCCCAGCCATGCACGCGCGCGCGCGCACACACACTCGCGGCCCGCGCAGCCAATAATGCGACCCCCCCCCCCCACACCCCGGCGGCACGGTCTACCGGCTCGGGCCATGCGCGCTGAGAGCGCGCGGCCGCCACCTGCCGCCGGGGCAGGGATCCGGCCGCGCCTCCCCCACCCCCTGTGAGCCAGAGGGGGGAGAAGGAGGAGGAGGCGGAGGAGGCCCCCCCCCCCGGGAGGAAGGGCGGTCGAGGGCGCCGCATGCCGCCCGCCAGCCGACCGAAGTCGGCCCGTGTCGCGCGCGCCGCGGCCGCCGGCCCCCACCAGCACCCACTCCTCCCCTCCTCCCTTTGCCTCCTCTCTCTCCCTCCCTGTCTCTTTTTCTTTTCCCTCCCCCCCCCGACACCATGGCCGACCCCTCCTCCCCGGCCGCGCAGAAGCGCAGACGCGTGACTCTCACCCATGCGCCGGTCTCCTCGGAGCTGAGCTCCCCGCTGCTCGGTGCGCGCTCCCGGCTGCCATCGCCCGCCGCGCCGGCCACCTCGCCCATGCTGACCCACGCTGTGTCCTCCTTCCGTCTGCCGTCCTCCCCCCCCCCCCCCCCTCCCTTGGCCCCTGGCCGGCCCCTCAGTTGAGCTCCCCGTCGGCGCCAGCCAGCTCGAGGGCCTGCACTCGTTCAACCAGACGCGCGGGTCCTCGCGCAAGCCCCGCCGGTATCTGGCCTCCGATGTGGGACGCGTCCAGTTTGAGGCGTCGAACTTCGGGGAGAATGCCCGCCGCACGGGCAGCCGGTGCGCTTGCCTCCTCCGTCCCCCCGTCCCCCCGCCCCACACGCCCCACCCCGGTCGCCCTCGCGAGCCTGCACACGCAGTGGCTTCTGACCGCGGTGCTGCTTCGCCCTCCGTTCCCCCCCTCCCCCTCTCGATGCGTCGTCATCAGCTACGCCATCGGCATCTTCGACAAGGCGTCCGGCACCGTGCAGGTCGTCGAGGTCCCGGTCTTCGGTGCCTCGATGAAGATCCATGCTCTGGACAAGCTCCAGGTCCAGGACCACGACACGCCGATCACCAGCGGCAAGGATGTGCGTCTCGCTGGCCGGCGCAAGGCCCCCCCCCCCCC